GGAGGTGGTGAGCTCCCCCTCACTGGCAGTCTTTTAAGCAGCGGCTGGACAAACCCTTGTCAGGGATGCTCTAGGCTGATCTTGCATTGAGAAGGGGGTTGGACTAGATGGCCTGTATGGCCCCTTTCAACTCTGTGATTCTAGGATTCTGTGGCCACCTACTGGCACATGGACAAATGGGAGTCTCTTTGGCCCCTGTAAACTGGGACTTAGACTAAACTGGGGCTTAGGCCCAGGAAAGCAGCTCCCAGTTTGTCGCGGTAATTGCATTTGGATGTCAGAACAAACGGGACCATGCACACCGGGAAGCTTAGCACTGAAGAACCTGTTCTGGCAACACCAGCATGGCTCTATGAGCTTGCTTGTGTCGGGGCCGGACCATCTATTAGGCACACTTGGGCAATTGCTTCGGGTACCAGAGGCAGAGGGGCATAAAATAGCCCTGTCATTGACAGCATCAGGGATTGCTGTGGCAAGCAGCAGCCCTGGGAGGTGCCCTGGAAGGATTTCTTCCTCCTTTCCAGTGCCCAGTGGTGCGAGTAGTGGGCAGGATCGCCTCTGTCTCCCCGCAGCATAGTCCTGGCTCTCAGAACTTCTCCTGGACCAGATGGTAATGTTTTGAGCTTTCCCAAGGGCTGCCTGTCACTGATGTTGTTGATGTTGTTGTTCAGTCGCACAACCGAGTCCGACTCTTTGTGACCCCATGAACCACATGACGCCAGGCCCCCCAGAGCCTGTTTGGTATAGTGGTTAAGTGCGCAGACTCTAATCTGGGAGAACCGGGTTTGATTCCCCACTCAACTTGCACCTGCTGGATGACCTTGGGCAAGCTGTAGTTCTGGCACAGCTGTTCTTGGAAAAGAGCCGTTTCTGTCAGAGCTCTCTCAGCCCCACCTACCTCACAGGGTGCCTGTTGTGGGGAGGGGAAGGGGAAGGAGTTTGCAAGCCACTCTGAGACTCCTTTGGGTAGTGATGCTCTGTCTTCTTGGTGCTGGGGGGGGGGTCAACAGTGGGAGGGCTTCTAATGTCCTGGCCCCACTGGTGGACCTCCTGATGGCACTGGTATTTCTGGCCACTGTGTGACACAGAGTGTTGGACTGGATGGGCCTTTGGCCTGATACAACATTGGCGTCTCTTATGCTCTTATGTTCTTATGAAGGGCGGGGTATAAATGCAATCTCTTCTTCTTCTTCTTCTTCTTCTCCTGTCCTCTGTTGTCTTCCAGAGTTTGCTCAACTTTATATTCATTGCATCGATAACACTGTCTAACCATCTCATCCTTTGTCGTCCCCTTCTTCTTTGACCTTCAATCTTTCCCAGCATCAAGGTCTTCTTCAGTGAGTGCTCCCTTCTCATTTGGTGAAAGTTGGGAAAACCACTAGGCCATTCAGGTTTGATCTAGATCACATCCCTGATGAATATACAGTGGAGGTGAAGAATAGGTTTAAGGGATTAGATTTACCTAAAGAACTATGGACGAAGGTTCATGACATTGTACAAGAGGCATCAATCGGCACTCAAGTAATAAAGGCTAAACTATTCCTAAAGTGCCACATGCGAACTGGGAATTTTCTGCTTTATCACATGTTTGTTATTTTGCCTTCAGCATACAGGCCGGAAGCCACTCTGGGCAACGACGGGTCTGATTCGGGCTCTAACTGCATCGAGCAGACAACGGAATGGAGCGCCTGCTCCACAACTTGCGGGATGGGGGTCTCCACTCGCGTCACCAACAAGAATCCAATGTGCGAGATGGTGAAGCAGACCAGACTGTGCGAGGTGCGACCCTGTGAAAAAGGCCTGCTGCTGGAGAAGGTAGGGCTCAGCTTCTGGCAGGTGCATCACACATGGCAGGCTTGTGTGGATTGCTTAAGAAAAAATAGGAACATAAGAGAAGCCAGACCCATAGCCAGGATTTTGTGGCTTGTGGGGCAATTTTTTTTCTGGTGCGGCTGAAGTTCTCAGTGCTGAAAGAAAAGCCATGTAGCCAATAGAAAGACATTACCGGGATAGATCTCTAAATTGGAAGCTGTCGACCTCTTTAGGCGACAGTTCTCAGTTGCTGCAAGTTTATCACTTCTGCCAGCCTAAGCAACAGTTCTGATAACCAGGTGGCAGGTGGGGGTGATGACTTCTATAGTCAAGAAAGCCAACAGGCAGAAAAACTCTCTTAAAGGAGACCAGCTTCTTGACACAGAGTTAGAAGGGATCCTAGAGGTCACCTACTCCAACCCCCATGCTCAGTGTGGGAATAAGTCAACTACAGCACCCCACTCTGCTTAAAGGAGTGCATGCCTTTTAAAAATGTTTTTAAATGATTGAAAAAAGCATTACAGGAAAAATTCTTTTGGGGCTATGCCTTTAAGAAAGGGGGCGGAGCTCCCAAAAGCCCCACCTTAGCTATACGCCTGAGAGAAGCTATGTAGGATCAGGGCAATGGCCCTTCTAGCCCAACGCTCTGTGTCACACAGTGGCTAAAACTCAGGTGCTGTCAGGAGGTCCACCAGCAGAGCTTATACAAGGAAGAAAATATGCTGAACACAGACTCAGGATAGACAGCAGTAGCTGTCGTGAGCGATAGGTGTTTTATAGGGTATGGCTTCCCCAGGCGGTGTTTGCATTTTATTGCTAAGCTAGCCCAAAATGGTGGCTTCTGCAAAAAGGTTCTTATGGTCTCCTTTAAGCCCAAATGCATCTTCTGCGTGGTCTTGAAAGACTCCTGAGGCTATTTGGGGGGAAAATGCAGTTTGATAAAGAAGCCGCCGTAGACTAATCATCTATGTATGTCAGTAGTATATACCCTTAGTGTCAATGCTTCCCAAAGGGAGGTAGAACTCCTTCCCAGTCCTGCTTCTGATGCTCTTTAATGGGAGATGCCATAGACTGCACTTGGGGTATGCCCACTGCCACTGAGCTTGTAGCTGTTAATCACGTAGAGCTTGTTCTCAGCCACGTAGCAGCTTCTGAGCGCAGATGACTGAAGGCTCGCGTGATTCTTTCCCACTGGTGCAGTGAAGCAGGTCTCAGCCTCGTCACTGTGTGGATGGGAAGCTCTCTGCATGTAAGCTGCTCTGAATTTCCTGAAGGAAGAGCCGGGATAGAGGCATAATCAGTAAATCCCAGTCTAGAGCACAGGAAACAACAAAGGATCATAGAACATGTGTAAGAAGGGAACTCTATATAATGACATCCAGTGGTATTAGGAAATTGTACACAGGACCACTGGGAATAGCCATTTTGCTGGTGTCTAATTCAAAGGGAGGAGCTACGGTGGCTCAAGTGGTTAAGACGCTGAACTGCAGGCTGTGGAAGGTCGGTAGTTCAGCAGTTCGAGACCCGGGTTGCCGCATGACCGAGTGAGCTCCCGTCTCTAGTTCCAGCTCCTGCCAATCTAGCAGTTCGAAAGCAAGAAATTGCAAGTAGATAAATAGGTACCACTTCAATGGGAAGGTAACAGCGTTCCGTGCACCTTGGTGTTTAGTCATGCCGGCCACATGACCACGGAAACGTCTTCGGACAGCGCTGGCTCTTCGGCTTTGAAACGGAGATGAGCACCGCAACCCTAGAGTCGGATTCAACTGGCTTTCGAGCAAGGGAACCTTTACCTTTACCTTTAATTCAAAGGGAGCAACTTGCCGCTCACGCGAAGGCTCCTTCCACAATCAGTTATTCTTACCAAACTGGGGGTGGGAAGGGCCATCAAGGCACAGCCAATTTCTGGTGACTCTGTTGGGTTTTCAAGGCAAGAGACGTTCAGAGGTGCTTTGCCATCGCCTGCCTCTGCATCAGGCACTCTGCTAATAGTCTACCCGAGATTGACTGGAAGTTGATCATGGAAGTAGTGTGAGGATGCACAGAGGCATTACACCCTACTGGGCCCGGTACATTTTTCCCCCTGCAGCAAGGCAAGTCATTGTTTCCCTCCTGCTCCTAGGCAACATAACCTGATTCCAAAACCCAAATGGATTTTTGTCCCTTGCCCCATCTTTTGCACTTTAAATCCAGGGGCCTGTTTATTTCAGGTAATCATTTATTGAACACCTTAAAAAAAAAAACACCAGTGTTTTTCATTTTGTGGGTTCTGCGGTGGGGATGGTGGGATAGCTTCCTGATTGCCACTAGGTCCAGCCAGTTAGCTCTCCGCACAGACCCACAGCAGGCTCCCCAATTGCTTATACTCTTCCCTCAATCCACCCACTCTGGTGGCCCATTCCCAAGGACTGAACCCACCGTGGAACACATGAAGCTGCTGTATATGGAATCAGACTCTTGGGTCCATCAGCGTCAGTGTTGTCTACTCAGACTGGTAGCGGCTCTCCAAGGATCTCAGGCAGAGGCCTTTCACATCACCTCCTGCCTGGTCCTTTTTAACTGGAGTTGATAGGGACTGAACCCGGGACCTTCTGCGTGCGAAGCAGGTGCTCTGCCACTGAGCTACGGCATCCTTGTTGTTTTCATAGCCATGATTGTTGTGTAACACCCCGTCCCTCTCTCAGAAGGGCAAGAAGTGCATCCGAACCAAGAAATCCCTAACAGCCGTTCGCTTGGAGTACAAGAACTGCACCAGCGTCCAGATGTACAAGCCCCGCTACTGTGGTGTCTGCAGTGACGGACGGTGTTGCACTCCTCACAGCACAAAAACCATCCACGTCGAGTTCCGCTGTCCCCATGGAGGCACCGTCAAGCATCCCGTAATGGCGATCAGTACCTGCGTTTGTCACGGCAACTGTCCTCAGGATGACAACACTTTCTTCAGGAAGCTACACTGAAGAGGGCTGGACAGAAATCGGAACTTGAAAATTTTGGGGGGGGGAAGGGATATTTAAATAAAAAAGCTTAGGTTTTATATAATATAAGTGCTGGAGACACCCAATGGGTAATGTCTCCCATTTCCTTATCATTGTTGGTTCTTCTGTGAGGTGGGGGAGACCCAGTTTCACTTCAGTGATCCAGTTCCGTGTCTGTGGAGTTCCTGGAAATCATTTCTCAGGCATGTTAGAGGCATGTGCCTGCATAAACATATTACCATTGCTAGAGGGGTGGGGGAGAGAATATAGCGATTCAGTGTGGGTTTTGATGATTAAGGAATTCCTAGAAACTGCAGGCACTCGGAATTCCTGCTCATTCATGTACCAGCTCCTCTCTGCTCAGATTTCCACATTCTTTTTCCCCTGAACGACTTATATTCTAAATGCCACAGGCATGCTTATGTTGCCCTATTTACCTGCAGGAGAGAAGTTAAGTGCAACATGTGGGTGCGGAGTGACAGGACTGTGCTCTTACGTCTGGTAGAAAGCCAGCTTAGGGATGGGCACAGACCCAAACCCAAGCCAAAGTCCAGGCCACACTTTGCCCAGTTCAGGCTCAGGAAACCTTGGTTCACAAAAAACACCTTCCCCTGAACACTCACCAAGCTTCTGCCTGGTTTGGTTCAGGGTTTGCCCCCCTTCCCCCCCCCCCACATGCCCACCACTTCTGGGTGGTGTCGGACCCTGCCTCCACATCACTTGGAGGTTACACAAGCATGCCACCTGACCGGCTTGCATCATTTCTGGGTGATGCAGGTGCGCTGGGGATAGGGTCCAGTGCCACCTGGAAATGATACAGGTATGTGGGGGGGGGGCAATGCGCCAGTGTTGCTTCTGGATGAGGCCAGGATGCTGGGGACGGGGGCCCAAAGCCTCCCAAAGTGGTTCAGTTCAGTTGGTATTTTTGCTCGGGGGCTTGGTTTGGGACCGCCCAGCTTGCACATCCTGAACTGGGCTTTCCTAGTCTGTGCCCATCCCTTAGTCAACTTTGGCAGGCTTCCTCAGGATCTGATTCTTCATGGTAGGAACCCAAGAGTAGTTCCCAAAAAGGACCAAACTCAGTACATCAGGGCTAAGAATTATACTGGCCCGCTGAGCACTTACCCCCCTCTACCTGCTCCTCATTGCCTTCTCCAGGCAGCGGCTGCTACCCATATAGCTTCACCCATAGTCCTCCTCCACTCCTGTGTCACTCTTTGTCTGCTGAGAATAGTAACAAGAATGGGCACAGTAATAAGACCAATGAAAAAAGGAAAAAGAACTGTGACAATTTAGCACTTGGCACTAAAAATATATATATAACAGTGTGCAAATTTATAATTATTCAGTAATAATTACATTGCTCCACTTACATAAATATTAATATTTTAAACAAACAAGTATTTAAAATATTAATATTTATGTATGTGGAGCAATGTAATTATTATTGAATAACAATGAAAATGTATTGTAACAGCTATTGTTGTACTTTTTAGAATCAACAGTATATTTCCAATACGTCACCAAGAGAAATGAATTGTTGAAAGACAGTTTATGTAAGGTTTCATACTACTTTTATTCTTATTTATATATTTGCACACTGTTATATATATTTTTAAATGAGACTTGTATTGTTATATTTGATAAGGTACACATCCTTTTTCGGACGAAGATCATTGTCGAAACGGCACACCATTCCGGAGACCACTGTCTACATTCACTATATATATATTACTTATTTTCTGTTATTGTATATTATGATTTCTGAATATATTGCCAAGCGCTAAATTGTCACAGTTCTTTTTCCTTTTTTTCATTAACTCTTTGTCTGCTGGCCATGAGATGTCTCCAAGATGGCCCCAGTATTGTGGAGTAGGTGGTAAGGTTTAAGTTAATAGGGTTGTCAACCTCCAGGTGGTGACTGGAGATTCGGGATTACAATTCCATGCAGCCCTGAGTCTGTTCATGGGGAGGGTGGGGTATAAATACAATTAAATAAAATTAAATAATAAATTGATCTCCAGGTGATGAATCAGTTCACCTGGAGAAAATGGCCACTTTGGAAGGTGGACTCTATAGCTTTTACACCCTATTGAAGCCCCCCGTCCCCAAACCCCGTCCTCCTCAGGTGTTTCCAGGTGTTTCCAAACCCAGAGCTGGCAGCCCTATTTAAGTATAGTGCCGTTTTGAAGCCATTTCTGCCTCTGGGAGAAGGAACGTCGGTGGTGGTGAGATCCTGCACTGCCCCTCCGTCCTCTACTGCAACTAAAATGATCAGGGGATTAGAGCAGCTGCTCTGTGGGGATCAGTTAAAACATTTAGGGTTGTCTAGCCAAGAAAAAAGGTGAGCGAGGGGAGACATGCTGGAGATTTGTAAAATTATGCATGGCGTGGAGAAAGTAAGAGAAGCTCTTATCCCTCCCCCATAATACTAGAACTCAGGGTCATCCACTGAAGATGAAGGGTGGAAGATTCAGGACAGGAAGAAGCAGGGGTCATTTCCTGTGGGAGCGCACAGGAGCGGAGCTCCGGCAGTAAGGAGCCCAGGGGGCGGGCACATGCAACAAGCCCTGCCCCCTGCTCCCAGCAGCCCTCAGTTGGGCCACGAGGAGCAAGAAGCAGCCAGGTAAGTTGCAGAGCCCCCCCCCCCAGCCTGCCTTCAGGTACAAGCTCTCCCTCCTATGTGAGGGCAGATATTTGCGTCCCCCCCCATAGCTAGCAATCCAAAACAGTCCAGTGGAGCCTGAGTGGTGGGTGTTGCCTTCTGACAATTCCGGTGATGTCAGGGGTGTGGCATATGCTAATGAGCTCCTGCACCTCTTTTTCTACAAAATGACCCCTGGGAAGAAGTATTTCTTCACAGCATATTGTTAATTTGTGGAACTCGCTGCCACAGGATGTGGTGATGGCCACCAACCTGGAAGGCTTTAAAAGGAGAGTGGACAAATTCATTAAAGACTGGGCTATCGATGACTACTAATCATGATGGATCTCTATTCCCTCCAGAACCAGAGGTAGTAAGCTGGGGGACACGGGTGGGATGATGCTGATCCAGTCGTCCTGCTTATGCGTGCCGTAGATGCAGCTGGTTGGCCCCTGTGTGAACAGAATGCTGGACTAGATGGGCCTTTGGTTTGATCCAGCAAGGCACTTCTTATGTGCCTGATTATTCCCAGAGTCAGGGAGGTTCTGCTTTCTGGGGGACTGAGCTGAGTTTGCACTCTTAGCAGCCTTATTTTGTGTTACTTGGCCTCTTCGCTGTTAGATTCAAATGCCGATCGTCTCTTGTAGTGCGCTCACTGATTGCCCGACGTTATCATATTTTGTAATTTGTTTACTGATTGCCTGGAAAGGGTTTTGATCATACTTGTGATCCGCCTTGGGTCCCAGTGAGAAAGTGGACTAATAATAATAATAAATGTTGTCAAGCAGACCTAGTCTGGTCTGTATGCTGCAGAGTCAGTAGCCTCAGTGGTCTCTCAATTCTTTAAAGAGATGTTTTAAAGCTCCCTCTAGTGGTTGTAAAGAGAAGGAACACTTTTTTTTCCTGGGGTATGTGTGTGGGGAAGGGGGATTGTGCTGCCCTTTCCACCCAGCTTGTCCATGGGCCGGATCCGGAATAGAAAGGAGTATCCCTGAGCATGTACAGTGACCCTTTCCCTTGTGACTTTTTTGCACATACATGAGCAGTCGAGTTTTTATAAGGGGTACCTTTTCTCCTCACCCCTGCGAGACCCTGTTCCTAGAGATGGAAGGTACCAGAACAAGTTTGCAGTCCTGATATTGGGCCGCACCCCAGATGACTTGAATATGCAACCCTCCTTTGCTCCTTTTTAGAGTTTAACACCAGAAACACTTATAAAAACATTTCTGGCAAAGAGTAGGTCTTTATACCCAGCTTTTCTCTACCCTAAGGAGTCTCAAAGCGGCTTGTGATCACCTTTCCTTTCCTCTCCCCACAACAGGCACCCTGTGGGTTAGGTGGGGCTGAGAGAGTCCTGAGAGAACTGTGACTGGCCCAAGGTCATGCAGTAGGCCTCATCTGTCATAACGCAGGGCCATGAAAACGGAGCTTTTCCGCCAGCCGTTTCAGTAGGAAAGACCCTACATCGGCTGTGTTGCACTGGCACTTTATTATACGACATCGCCACATTTACATGGTTTTAACTGTATTTATTTAACTGGAAATGAGCTGAGCTATTTTATTGAGCTGTATTTTATATACGTACTTATGCTGGTTTTATAATTGTTGTAAGCCGCCCTGAGCCGCTTTGGCGGGAGGGCGTTATATACGTACTTATGCTGGTTTTATAATTGTTGTAAGCCGCCCTGAGCCGCTTCGGCGGGAGGGCGGGATAGAAATCTAACGGATAAATAAAATAAATAAATAAACAAGCCCAGCAGATTCACCCGGAGAGTCTCTGCAGGAGGAAATGAGGTGTGGGGAGGGGGGGCATGTTTGCAAGGCTAGCGGCAGAACCAGTGCCACTCTGGTAGTGCCAAAACCCAACGGATTTGACCTTAGTCCTGTTGGGATTTGGCAGTGCCAGAGGTTCTGCTGGGCACATGGCACTGGTTCTGCTGCTGGCCGTCTCCCCACACTTCACTGTCTACTGCAGAGATTCTCTGAGAGAATCTGCTGGGCTCGCTGTATGCCTGCCATGCTTTTCCCCCCACCACTGGAAACAATGAAGGTTGGGGGCACCCTCTTTGGATGCACATAGACTTGGACCCCCTGGTCCAGTCTTTGAAACTTGGCGATTCTTTTGGGGAGAGGCTCTAGCAGCTACACTGCAAATTTGGTGCCTCTACCTCAAAGCCCTTCCCACCACACACTGAATATACTAGGAGATCTGCCATTGACTCTAATGGCCCCACCGGGTATAATGGAACTGAAAAATTCGGGATTCCCGAATTAATTCAGGGTTTTCTTATGGGTAAACCAAGGCAGATCGGAGAATCCGATTCGGCTTAGCTAATGCCTGAATCATGCCAAAAAGGCATGATTCGGGTATTAATTCAGCTCAGAAATGCCAAATGCACATCCCTAGTATGAAGGCACAGATAGGATCTTGCA